ACTACAGTGGCGAGATCTCGGCTCATTGCAAGCTCCGCCTCCCGGGTTCACGCCATTCTCCTGCCTCAGCCTCCCGAGTAGCTGGGACTACAGGTGCCGCCACCACGCCCGGCTAATTTTGTTTTTGTGTTTTTAGTAGAGACGGGTTTCACCGTGTTAGACAGGATAGTCTTGATCTCCTGACCTCGTGATCCGCCCGCCTTGGCCTCCCAAAGTGCTGGGATTACAAGTGTGAGCCACTGCGCCCGGCCTCAACTAGGCTTTTTCTAAACATATCTTTAATGCTTGTCATGGTAAGGAATAATGACCCCCTGATTCCTGTCCTCTGCCACTCTATTAGGTATGATTGACAATGTTTTATTTTTCCAGAAATGTTCTTCCTTTTTGGTACAGCAAATGTTTATTTTTGTTTTTACAGAAAAAAAGCGGCGGGGGGGGTGGGTCATAGTATGCATACTTCCGCATCTGACTTTTTTCTCTTGGAATTCCTTCCACATCAACAGAGACCTACTTCACTTTTTATTATTTATTTATTTATTTAGAGACAGGATCTCGCTCTGTCATCCAGGCTGAAGCCCCAGGGCTCAATAATCACAGCTCACTGCAGCCATCCTCAAGCTATGCTCCCACCTCTCAGCCTCCTGAGTAGCTAGGACTACAGGCTCAACCTACTGCCACCACACCAGCTAATTTTTTTTTTTTTAATAGAGACTGGGTCTTGCTATGTTACCCAGGTGGTCTCAACTCCTGGGCTCAACCGATCCTCCCACCTCATTCTCCCAAAGTGCTGGGATTACAGCTGTGAGCACTGTTCTCAGCATTCACCTTTAAAAACATGTCTAATTATATATCTCAGGGTTTATTTATCCACTTTCCTACTGGACATCTCAGTGACCCAGTTCTGTTGTTTTGGCATACAGTGCTGCAGTGGACAACCTTCTCTATGTAGTTTATCAAACAGCGATTTCAAATTTTGATAGAGCCTCCCAAGATAAACTAGTATCAAGCCAGTTTGAGAATTTAGTATGCCACTCTCCCCTGCTGAAAACCTTCCGGGGCAATGTAATGGAAAGGACTTGGGTTCTGCCGCCTAGAACCAAGGAGCCTTGGGTCTTTAACCCTCTCTGGGCCTCATGTATTCGCCTGCATAAAGTCGGTATAATCTCGCGTCTCAGGTTGGTTGTGAGAACCCAGAAACTGCCTCCGTGAAGGCTTGGCATCAGCAGAGGCCTCGGTTGTCCTTTAGTTTCAGGGTGTCCTGGGGCACGGGCCAAAACCTCAGGCTGAACGTGCTAGAGGAACCTTCCTTTCCCTTGCAGATTAGGAAAACTGTGGCACAGAAAGTGCCATAGGGGTTGGTCAGGACCCCACAGCTGTGGTCCACGCTGCTGCGGGCGGCTTCGGATCCTGGTCCCGGGGGACTGCGCACATTTGGATGTGGTCAGCAGGGAGGCCTGGCCCGGCCCCTTCCCCTTCTACCGAGTCCTCTCCCCTAACCAATTCCAACCCTTAACGCCCACAGTCCTCACTCGGTTCGACTCCTGCCCCAGGGGCGACCGGGTGGGGACGTCATTCCTGAACAACTAAAAGCTGCTGCGGCCAGCGTCACCTCCAGCCCCAGCGGAGACGGTGGGGGCCGTAAGGCTTAGGGACTCCGCGTCCTCCCTCCAGCTGGGCCTCAGCGTGCCCTCTGTACTTGCCTTCTGCGACCAGTCAATGTGAGTCGGATGTGTGTGTTGACTGCAGACGGGTGACGTGTGTGTTGTGTGGTGAACCGTTCTTTGTGTAGATATGTGACGTGTGTGTGCTGTGGTGCACGGATATAGGGGCTCACGAAGTACCGGACTCCTCGCTCCTAGAGCCCCGATGGTTGCCGACGTTACAGCCCTGCCCGGCTCAGCCTCCTCAGCAACCGCGGTGGAACCCGGAGTTTGCGCGTGCGCGGCTCCGCCTCAGGCTCCTCCCCCGCGCTGGCACTCCCGCCTTCGCCGGCCCTCCCCGCGCTTTACGGCCCGGCACGCCACTTTTACTGCAGTCGCTCCCGCCGCCGCCGTAGCCCCCACCGTCGTTTGTGCTGCAGGTGAAGTGAAGTGAGGTGAGGTGTGGTGTTGGGCCGGTGCCGCCGCCCCTGCCGCGGGGGAGGAGGTGGAAAGTGGGGCTGCGGCGGGCCGGCGGGGGCGGCCTGTCAGCCGCTGCTTTGTCTCCTCAGCTCGGGTCCAGTCTGCGCTGCTGCACGGAGGCCGCCCGGGCCAGGCGAGCCGAACCAATGCTGGACTTGGAGGTGGTGCCCGAACGCTCTCTGGGGAACGAGCAATGGGAATTCACGCTGGGTGAGTTTGGGGTCCTCTGTCAGGACCCCATTCGCTGATCCTTGTTTTCTTCTGGGCTCTTCCCACCTCTGTTCTCAGTCTCTCACGCCCCTGCGCCCGCAGCTCCTCACCTCTTTCGTCCTCTCGGCTGTCCGAGCTCCAGGCACTAGACACCCGCTCCAAGTGGCCCGATTTGCCTGTCAGTTGCTCATCTCGGGTCTCAGCAGGTTCTCTTCTGGGACGGTGGGACAGTAGTAGTAAAGACAATAATAGCTGGCTCTCCCCAAATGCCTAATGTCCGGCCCTGCTCTTTTTGAACGTAATTCTCTCTAGTACCCTTCGCCGGCGCCTGAGGATAGGTACTATTGTTATTCCCATTTCCATTTTACAGACTAAATAATGGCTGAGAAGTGGCTGATCCCTCTGATCACCACTGTGGCCTGTGGTCTGTCTCCCACTGCTTTTCTGGGCTGTGGCTTCCTTCCCCTTTTTTGGTTGGGAAACCTAGGTTTGGAACCCATGATCAGATGTTGGGGCTCTGGTCAAGGGAGTTGAGTTTGTGTGTGTTAAAGGAACAGCTGACTTGCTTCCCTCTCTTTTTTTTTTTTTGAGACGAAATCTGGCTCTGTCGCCCAGGCTGGAGTGCAGTGGCGCGATGTTGCCTCACTGCAACTTAACGCCTCGTGGGTTCAAGCGATTCTCCTGCCTCAGCCTCCCCAGTAGCTAGGATTGCAGGCACGCGCCGCCACACCCGGCTAATTTTTGTATTTTTAGTAGAGACGAGGTTTCACCATGTTGACCAGGCTGGCTGGTTTCGAATTCCTGACCTCGTGATCCGGCCACCTCGGCCTCCCAAAATGCTGGGATTACAAGCGTGTACCACTGCACCCGGCCCCGCTTCCCTCTCTTTTGAAATGTAGTCTGTATCGGATGCTGTAGTCCTAAACCCAGACCTCAGTTGTGACAGGTGAAGGTTGGATGAAATAGGAGTTAGGGGGATGTAACATTTAGTTTCTAAAAGATGCAGTTTGGTCGTTTGGGGTTTGCTGGCCCAGCTTTCTCCCTTCACCCTCTCCATTCCCAACATCACTGCTTTTATGTGTACAAGGATGTTTGTATTCAGTAACCCCTGTGTGTTTACTTTGATGTTCCAGCACTAAGAAAAGGGGGTGGGGGTAGGTGTTGGTGCTGTTTGTTTATGCAGGCCTGAACTTTAATCACTCTAATGTGAGCTACTGGACTAAATCAGCTGCTTCATTGGATTATATATTATCCTTGACTCTGGAAGACTTAATTCTGTGGAGACAGTGTATTGGAGAAACCAGGTGGTACAGATTGCTGGTAGGGCCCTGCTGATACTTAGTGGCTACATACATCCTGTGTGTTGTAAGAGCCAGTTTTTGTTGTTGGTGTTCTGTTTTAAGACAGTCTCACTCTGTTGCCCAGGTTGGAGTGCAGTGGCACAATATCAGCTCAATGCAACCTCTGCCTCCCAGGTTCAAGCAATTCTCCTGCCTCAGCCTCCTGACTAGTAGCTGGGATTACAGGTATCTGCCACCATGCCTGGCTAATTTTTGTATTTTTAGTGGAGACCAGGTTTCACCATGTTGGCTAGGCTGGTCTTGAACTCCTGACCTCAAGTGATCTGCCTTGGCCTCCCAAAGTGCTAGGATTACAGGTGTCAGCCACCGTGCCCAACCATAAAAGCCGGTTTAATTTAGGGGTCTTGGTCAAATTCTTTCATAACTTACACCACTCCTGCAGAGTTCTTTCCAAAATATTAGCTGGTACGAAATGCTTCATTCTTTTGTGAAGCACTAACAGCTTAGTTGGGAGGCTAGTGACACCATGCTAATGCTGTTTGGCTTTTAGTTAACTCCTTTCCTCCCCTCTCCTTGACAGCTTCTACCCAAGCAAGATCCTCCCAGGGCTGGGTAAAAACCACAGCCATAGCTTCAAACTGTGCTTGATAGTGTGACTAGGTTGTGGATCTCTTGGTGGTACAAGCATTCAGAGTCCCTTGGTCAAAAGTAGTGGCTAGGGACTGGGTGCAGTAACTCATGGCTGTAATCCCAGCACTTTGGGAAGCTGAGACAGGAGGATGGCTTGAAACCAGGAGTTCAAGACCAGCCTAGGCAACATGGTGAGACCTTGTTTCTACAAAAAAAAAAAAAAAAAAATTAGGTTAGTCAGGCCTGTAGTCTCAACTACTCGGGAGGCTGAGATAGAAGGATCACTTGAGGCTGGGAGGTCAAGGCTGCCATGGGTCATGATCACACCACTGGGCATGATCCTGGGTGACAGAGGGGGACCCTGTCTCAAAGAGACCAAAAAAAAAAAAAAAAAAAAGTTAACTAGGATATTAATTGAGATCAGGATTTCCAGAAAACTGAGTGAGAGAGCAAGGCTTCTCTCGGAGCTGTTGTTTTGACACCCTAACCCTGACACCTAGCTCTGGTAGTTTCCCAGGAATCAAGGATTTACACAGTTCTTTCAAACTGTCTAAATAGCAACCAAAAACAGTGAGAAGGGCATTTCTGTATATTAGGTCCAGAATTGAATTTTAGGGGAAAGCTCATAGACTGACCCAGAGCCTTCATGATTCCCGTGGGTCTTAAAATTCATTTTTACATGGTGTCTGCCTGAGAGATGGTGGTCATTTAACTTTATCAGTCATTTTCCACCCCTTTCAATCAGGAAAGTCATTTTCCACCTCTTTCAACCTCCTCCCCACCCCTGAACACATCCAAACTACATTTGGGGCTGTTAGGTAGGGATTGGTCTCAGAAGGGAATCTGTTTTAGAATTACATGCCTAGGCTAGTGAACCACGAAGAACTTACCTCTTGCCACCACAAGCTTGTAAGAGGTATTGTTATCTCTTTTTGCCAGGTGAGGGACAGGTTCAGAGAGAGAGATGATAAATAAAAGTTGGCAAACAGGCATTTCCTGCTTCCAACGGCTCTGTCCTTTTGAGAGTGGACTCAACTTTGTCACCAGGTTTCTTATTGGAATCTGTGCAATTGCAGATGCAATTATCTGCCTGGCATCACAATGGGAAGCTGCATCCTGGCAGCTCCTTGGCTGCCTTCCTGGTGGTATAATGTTGGATGATTAGGGAAATGCTAGCAACACAGGGACAGGAAAACCTGGGCCAAGCAGAATCTCTGTGAATGTGAATGTCACTGATGGTTTGACCAGCGGTGGAGTAAAGGCAGTGCAGATTTGAAATGGGTTTTTTTTCTTTTTTTTTTTTTTTTTGAGACAAAGTCTTACTCTGTCGCCCAGGCGGAGTGCAGTGGCGCGATCTCGGCTCACTGCAGCCTCTACCTCTTGCAATTATAGATGTGTGCCACTAGCTAATTTTTTACTTTTAGTAGAGATGGAGTTTCACAGTGTTTACCAGGCTGGTCTCGAACTCCTGACCTCAAGTGATCCTCCCGCCTCGGCCTCCCAAAGTGCTGGGATTATAGGCGTGAGCGTTTGTGCTGAGCCCTGAAAAGTTTTCGATGAGAGTTGCAGAATGTATTGATGCAGAGGCAAGTCTCTGAATTTGTTTTTGAAATTAGTCTTGAAAGGGACTAAAAAAGGTAGATTTAAAGGGTCAGTGGAGAAAATACCTTCTCCGAGATTACCTTGTTCCACAGAGACTGAAGGCTCAATGTGTTGAAGGCATCATCTACCTCTGTGAATTGCTTACAAACATTGAAAATTAAGTAATCAACAGTGCACAGTGACTCATGCTTGTAATCCCAGCACTTTAGGAGGCTGAGGTGGGGCAATCACTTGAGCCAAGAGTTTGAGACCAGCCTGGGTAACATAGTGAGACCCTGTCTCTATTTAAATAAAAAATAAATAAAAATTTTTAAAAAAATGATCTTATTCCCTGAAGAACTTAGTCTAGTGATAGAGAAGGATTATAGAAATAGTTCATTTTATTATAATCAAGTAGAAGATGTATAGGGTACTGTGGAGGGGAAGAAGGGACTTAACCTGACTTAGGAGTTCAGAGAAGGCTTCCTGCCAACCAACAGGAGCTAGAAATCTTCTAGTCAAGTGAAAGAGGAAAAGAAAAACACAGGAGAAAAGATAAATGATGTGTGCAGGGAACTATAAGCAATTTGGTATTATAATTAGAGCATGATGTACTGGTAGAAGAAGAAAATGGATTTCCCATAGTCCCAATTCTGTTTGGTTTTAGCTGCCTGGGATACTATCAAGGATACTTTGTGCTGGAATCTGTGCAAATCTGTGGAAAAGAGGATATGTATTAGTGAAGTGTATTGTGGGCATTGGTTTAGGAAGAACTGGATTTGGCAAGGTGGGGAAGGAGGAGAAATCTAGAGGTTTTTGACTTGAGAAACTCTGTTAGATGTTGGACATACATATTGAGACCTAGAATACAGAGAAGATGAAAAGATCACTTTTAATCTGTTGACGTTTATTTGCCTTTAGATGTATATAGAAAATAGATGGAGATATGAGTCAGAAACTGGGTGGTTAGTTGAACCAGGGATGAGCAGAAGAAACATAGCCCATTGGAGAGACTTGGAAAAGTTAGAGGAGAGTAGTATTGGTGGAGAGACAATAGGAGTTCCAGAGAAGGAGGGTGGTCAACAGGATTCATGGTATAGGACCTAAGTGTTCACCTAATTGCTTTGTTTCACAGATGTGCATGACCACCGACAGTTGTGCCTGGCACAGTGATTGGGTGCTGGGAGGTATTGAGGTGAACAAGACAGACAAGGTCCTACCTCTGTGAGGATATAAGGGAGACTAACAAATAAATGGTATGAGAGACTTCATTGAATAAGGCGGTTAGGGAAGTGAGGTGTGACCAAGACCTAAAGTGCAAACAAGAGCCAGCTTTGGGTAGAACATTCCAGATTCCAGCAGCAACAAGAGCTAATTCAAAGGCCTGAGGTGCGAAAGAGCTTGATGTATGCAAGTAACAAAGGGTGAACGGTGAAAAGAAGATGTAGATGGCTAAGATCCAGAATATTCAGGGCCTTTGGTGATGACATGTTGTTTGGGTTTTATCCGCCTGCAATGGGAAGCCCTTCCATTGAGAGGTTATAAGCAGGCAAGTGATGAGATCTGTGAGACAAAGATTTGTGTGGTTTAGAAGGCTGACCATTCTGTTAGAGCTGGGATAGCGCCCCTGTTTCTTTGCCATTCATATAGTTAGTTCCCTTTAGAGATCTTTCGTAGCCCTCCTTTACCAGTAGCTGTGTGATGACCAGTCATCATGGCTGCTTCATCTGCTCTGGGTGAGTTTCTTCTTGGGTGACTCAGGATCCTAAGATGCTGAGACATCCTTTGATGTGGTAAGTGGAATCCTCCCTCAAGAAACTGGCATGGGCTGGGAGCGGTGGCTCAGGTCTATAATCCCAGCATTTTGAGAGGCCGAGACGGGAGGATAGCTTGAGCTCAGGAGTTTGAGACCAGCCTTGGTGGCATAGCAAGACCCCGTCTCTTTGGAAAAAAGAAAAAGAAAGAGACTGGCCATGTGGATCAGAGAAACCATGCAGCCTTCCTCTTTCTTGACATCTAACTGACTGAGCTTGTCTGTCTTCTGCACATGGATGTTTGTCCATTCCTCCTGGGATCGACAGCATAGATGTTCCTCCATTTAGGAATGGCAAAGGTGAGGGATGCATCCAGCTTGTTCATATTCTCAAACATTTATTGAGTCCCTACTATGTGCCAGGTTTTATGCTATGAAAGGCTGAAAAGTACTTTTTTAAAGATTATAAGTCAGCCTTGCGATGATTGCCTTCAACTTTCTTCAAATGAAGAATGGCCTCTCAGATGAGGGCAGAATCAGATTGTTTGTTTAAATGAGATGAGCCATGAGCTTTTTACCTTCTAATTAATTTTTCATTTGTAAGCTCTTTTTTGCACATCTCATCTCTTTGACCTGGAGGCCAACTGATTTAAATGTGAACTGGCTGCCATCGGATGAAGCCATGGTCCTTTTTCCTTCCTTTCTCTTGTCACCCATCCTACAATCCATCATTCCCACTCAGTAAATATTTATTCAACAGTCACTGGATTGGCCAGGTGTGGTGGCTCACACCTGTAATTCTAGCACTTTAGAAAGCGGAGGTGGGAGGATTACATGAGCCCAAGAGTTCAAGACCAGTCTGGACAACACAGTGAGACCTCTTCCCTACCAAAAATTTGAAAATTAGCCAGTTGTGGTGGCACATGCCTGTAGGCCCAGCTACTTGGGAGACTGAGGTGGGAGGATCTCTTGAGCCTAGGAGACAGAGGTTTCAGTGAGCCAAGATTGTACCACTGCACTCCAGCCTGGGTGACAGAGTGAGATTCTGTCTCAAAACAAAACAAAACAAAACCAGTCACTGGGTGGTTAGCTCTGAGCAGGGTACAAGGCATCCAGAGAGTGGTGAACAGCAGACACACTGTTTTCGAATTCATTTAACTATTAGTCTTTGTTTTTTGATTGTCCAGGACCTGTCTCTATGTGTGTTTCTACTTGTTTAAATTATAATGGACTCTGGAAACAATTTTTTTTTTGTTTTGTTTTGTTTTTGAGATGGAGTCTCACTCTGTCACCAAGGTTGGAGTGCAGTGGTGGGATCTCAGCTCACTGCAACCTCTGCCTGCCAGATTTAAGCAATTCTCCTGATTCAGCTTCCCGAGTAGCTGGGACTACAGGCATGCACCACCATGCCC